GGGAGGATGATTCAACCACTCAACCACTAGATGTCACTGAAAACAACAAATCCTACACACCGTGCCTTTAAAAACCGAGTTAGCTGAAGCTACTTAGCTGTGGCGGCCATCTTGACTAGTTTGACTCCAAAGGATGACTTGTATTTGTACACTACTAGTCAAAAGCTTGGACACCAAATATGCTGCAGGTTCTAAACCAGTCAAAGCAGTGYATGAATGTGATTGGCACTGATTAGTCTCCAAAGATGATTGTACGTTAGCTTTGTAGAGACCTAACAGAGTGCTGTGTGAATGGGTAAATGAGGACACAGATTGTGGTGTGAAGAGCTTYGAGTGTCCTGATGGACAGAAAAGCCCTATATAAGTACAGTCCATTTACCATTTACCTATTTTAGCTCAATTTCTCTAAAACWGATGGAGGACCATGTTTGAGTCACCTTGAATTGGACATCCTCCAAAGTAATCATCTGTAGATAATAAATTTGTGTGAGTTTTATAAAAATCCGTCCACTGGTTCGGCTTTGGTTTTCTGACGCCTTCTTTCACCTGGCCGGACCTCGGGTTCGCTGAGAGTTGTTTTCTTTTTTCCTACACTACGTAAATTTCTTAAACTTTTGTTAATTTTGTAAGCTGGATGTGGGTGACCGCAATTATTTTATGAACCAGAGTAAGATGCTTACAGAATAAATAGAGGAAGTGTGTCAGCAGCTGCAGTTTGTAAATTTTTTTTGTACGTAAATTTCGTAAACTTCCATAAGCTTTGTACGTGGGGCATGTGCCATTCTATTAGTCTCCAAACAGTATTATTGTTTTTCGCAATATTTTCTGAGACAATTTATCGTCCAGCAAAATTTGTTATCGTGACAGGAGAAATTGTCCTTTCGCCTTTGCTGGCAGCTGAAAACATCAGGTGAGTTATCATCTTCTTCTTAGAGAGAACCATTTCCTATTAGGCTCAATCTAAGCAAATGAAATTAACCTGGATGTAACTGGAGCTTTGGACCCGTGTTGGTTTTCCTCCTCTGTCAGAGCAGACTTCTGCAACAAGTTACAGTGTGAGCACCAGACAGGACAGAACGTTCAAAACGTTTTATGGTTTTGTAGAATTTGTTGACACAAGCAAAACTAAGATATCTGAAGTCAGCGGTGCAGCTGATATCAGACCAGGTGGAGCTTTACGGACACCTGKGGGGATGTGGGGTCGACTGTGGCCTGCATTGTCGGAAACTATTTACCTTTGTGAATTTCTGGCTTCTAACTGAGATGCTTCACTGAATTCCAACAAAAGCTGAGCCAACGTTGTGGCAAAATAAAAAAAAAAGCCAAATAAGTCACGGCCTTGAGTGGTTAAACTGAAAGCAGTCAGCTAATAAGTCACACAGCTGCACACACATGCACACATACAATCCTCCTGTAGGAGCATTAAGTGCTTTTCAGTGTTGCTAAAGGTTTGACCTACAAACACACACAAACAAGAGAGAACCACACCAGCATGCTGCCAAACGACAAACTCAGCTCCAGTCTCCACTTTAAAGGGCTCGGCTGATTCGCCATCATTTTAGCACTTTTTTTTGTCATTTTGCACAGCGATGAGAGGAGGAACGATGGAGCAGCGTTCATGGTTACTAGTAAAAAGCATGGAGGAGAAAAGAGGAATGAAGGGACGAGCTTTGAAGAGAAAATAAAACAAACAAACAGAGAAAGCACAACAGCAGAGGAAAAGGCAACAATGAGCTGAAGAAAAAAGGCTCGATTTTCCACAAGGTTTTTAGCTTCTGTTACAAAACAGGACTTTCAGATAGCCCTTTTCATTGACCACAGTCAGTTTTTGTGGAACCCTTGTTCGAGGGAATCTTTGTGTTTGTTTTTCAGTTTTTTTGGTGGGTTTGTTGAGGTGCAGATGGAGGGTGGGGGGATGTTGTGCAGGTCAGGGTGGGAGGAAAAACAAAGTGTCAGGTGCTCAGAAGTCGGGAGAAAGATGAAAAGAAAAATCTGCGTTGACCCAGCCTCTAAATGGACAATAAACTGTTTTTTATTGGCTACAATGTTCTAGAATGTAATTTGATTCAGGTAGTATCCTGCTGAGCTGCAACAGTTTCAGACTTACTGACAACTCGTTAATAAAAATAACTTTAATGTCTGAGTGTTTGAGAGCAAGTGACCAGTAAGATGTGTGGCTACAGTTTGTGAGGATAAGTTCTGAAAATCGTTTTGTTTTTTGTACACAGGTAGTAAAGATGTGTTCTACACTAGGCTTGGGCAGTATGAGGGTATTTTGTTATACTGTGGTATTAAAATATGGTGACAGTATTTAAAACGGACTGTATGAGTCACCCGAGGCGAAACACCAAATTTCCATAAGGCTGCCATGAAAACTGGGACAGACATTCTAGACGCCCCATAATGTTACTGACATTTGTTCTGACCACCTCAGCTTGTTTCAAAGACAGAGAGAGACAGCTCAGTCTGTCGCACATATTAACTACGAGCAGGTAAAACAATAAATAAAATAAAAAACCTCAGAGCGACGTAGTGACAGAAACTTGCCAACTCAAAAAAGTGAGCCGGTGTAGTGCTGACAGAGCGCTTCGGGACCACCCAGCAGGTTTGTTAAGTCAAACCACTATAGGTGGACTCCTTTCAGACTGAAACTTTCTGCAACCCCCACCCGTCAGAGGAGGAAAAACCTACAAACTTTATCGACACACCGACTGGCTAAACGTACGCAGCAGCGCGGAAACAACCGTGGTGAGAGTCCGATTATTTTGAAACTTAAAGCCCTAAAAAGACGAACTTGGACATGTTTTGGTCTGTTTGACACAAGCGATAATACCGTATACCACAGGATACCACAGTATTTTGTAAAGGTTATACCACAGTATGAAAAAGATCAATACTGCCCAACCCTATTCTATGCCATGGACTACATTTCATTACTTAGCTCGGCCCACTTTGTTCCCACCCCCCACGGATATGACTTAATCTACTGGAGTACAGTTTAGAAATGTCAAAGGAAAAYTTTTAAATGGTGTTTCTTAGTCTTCTGTCAAAGAAGAGCTCCAGGTGTCCTCCTGAGATGGGTTGGGTTGAAGTTAGCAATTGTTTTAAAGAAAATTTGTCACAAAAAGCTTTTAAAACACTCAACCGGACTACAAGCCTCAGAGCCCGGAGCGAGGAAACAGAACCAACATGAACGTCGTGCGACTCGTCTACGAGTGCCGTCCACTGACTAGCTGCAGCCCAGTCAGATGCTGCCTTTAGCAAGACTGAAACATTTTGTAAGGGCTACTGAGGCTTTTTCAGAATGAGAATTTTAGTAAATTAGATTTCATCCACGCTGGGGGGCTGGTCAGCTGCAGATTTCTCCCCCCGATGATTCTGAAGTGAACACAGAGGTGAAGCAGAACAGGTTCTCCTCTTACTTTGATTGTGCCTGTGTTGTAAGCAAACAGAGACGCTGTAGGCTGGGTTCAAGAGCTCGCACTTTTCAAAATAAGGGAAGGACATAAGCTGATACTTGTTAGTTTTTGTTTGTTTGTTTTTTTGTTGCTCCCAATAGGTTTGGAGCCAGAGTTCAGTCAGTGAAATAAAATAAAAAAAGACAACAACAAAAAGGAAAATAAAAACAAACATCATCACATGACATCACGTCCCTCTTCTCTTTTACAACAAAAAGATAGTGCAACTTTTAGACAACTTTTCTTTTGTTGCTTTGTGAATGTTAGGATAAGTTCTCTCATTTCTCCTCTTTGTTTTACTTCCTCGTGAACCTTGGCACTAAGATTTGGGTTGGAGAGTCTTGTTTTGTTGGGTTCTCAGAAAGTCCTGGATTCTCAGTTCTCGCTTTGTGCACAGATCCCGGTCCGTAACGTAAAACAAAAATGAAAAAAATAAAAAACCCTCCTCACTTCCCAGGGACAAAACTGTCRTCCCACAGGAGGAGGAAAGAAAGAGAACTTTCAGTCTGTGCTAGCAGATTTTCTTTTTGTTAAAAATAAAGAAAAATAATCATCCCCAGAGGTGCAAGCTGGAAGGAAACAAAAGAAAAAAAAGAAAAATCTTGGTTTCTCTTTCCTTGTTTAGTTGTAGCTCRTTGATATTTCTTTGTGCATGGGAGTGTGGGAGGACAGGAGAGCGACAGAGCGGTGTGGAAAGTCAGGGGTGACGATGGGAAACCCTCCTCAGTCTGGGATCTGTGGACCGGTCTGTCGCCTCCCGCTTCTACTCAGACCAGGTCCTCCGGCTTGCCGTCCTTGGCAGGAACTATTGTGCTTTCTGATTGGCTCTGCTGCTGGATCGTCCTGCTGCCCGGCCCCCCTGGCCCCCCCACTCTCTGGTTATTGCTGTGCTGGTGTAGAAAGAAGGCCGAGCCAGGGTAGTGGCCCATCACCTCGCTGTACGCCGGCGGGGGACCCTCCATGCGCCCGTGGCTGCTAGAGTTGGCTGCACTGATGCCCGAGTTGCTGCTCGGTGGTCTTGGGCCTCCTCCCCACACGCCACCCCMTCCTCCTCCTCCCTTCACCCCTCCCGGGCCACCACCTCCCCCCATGTCGATCAAGTCACTGTCATAAATGGTTCGGTTGGGTGGCGCCCTCACAGACTCACGATTGAGCTCCATCTGCTGCTCGGGATCACGGAGCTGCAGCGTGCAGGGCCCCTGGTAYGGCGGGGGCTCCTCGCCGTCCGACAACGATATGGTGGGCGGCAGGTCGATCTGATGCTGCATGTAGGGGTAGGTGGGCTGGAAGCGGCTGAAACGGTCACGTTGCATGAAGGAGGGAGCTGTGAAGCGATCCCTCGCTGAAGGGGCGTATAAAACCTGCGTGAGACAGAAAGAAGATGAAGATGAGGAAACTTCTGGAAAAAGAAGCTGAATCTAAACAGATGAAGTTAGTACAAAGAAAAAATGAGATCACGTTTGCTGAATTAAGCAGCAAGAAGTTGAAATGATCACAAAAAGGTGAATTTAGCTGAAAAAAAGCTCAAATTAGCGAAAAACCCTACTAAAAGTAGCTGAAATTAGCAAACAGCTGAAAGAATATAATAGCAGAAAAGGTCAGAATGAGCTAAACGAGCAGAATAAAGTCAAAGGAAGCTTAAATTTCCACAAAGAAGTCTAAAAAAGTAGAACCAGAACAAAAGATAAAAAGTACAGTAAAGATTTAAAAACTTTTTGAAGGCTTTTAAGAAAGTCGAAAACAGCTCCATTCATTTTAATTTATTCATGTATGTGTATATAGATATATACATACTGTGTATGTGTATGTGTATATAGATATATACACATTTTTGTTTGTTTGTTTTATCTGTTTTGATATAAAGATATTTTCATTCATCCATCCATTCATTCATTTTCAATGTGAAAAACATGGCCGAAAAAGCTTAAAAAAATGATAAATAGCTGAAATACCAAAAGTCATAGCCAGAATGTCCTGAAGGAGCTGAACGTTTTGCTATACATTATATAATATACACTACTGTGTATTTTGAAATACACAAAAATTGCAGAGCAAGATCTATTTGCTGAAAAACCTATAGAAGAAGCATGATCAATAGTGTGAATGAGATGCAGCATTCACACAAGAAGGAGAAACAACATGAAGTCTGTCTGATCTTTGTCTAATATTTGGAAAAGATTAAATAGAAACTTTGGTCACAGGTGGGCTCAGTTTTCCTGTCAGATGCATCCCTCTGCCACGTTGACCCATCAGACAAGTGAAGGAATATAAAGAAGCTTAGCTAGCAGGATTAGCATCAGCACAGTCTGTTTTATTACACTGAGTTTTAGCAGTAGGACTGAACTTTTAACTCAACTGTATGAACACACTCATTTTTCAGAAAAACATGAAACAAGAAAGACGAAAGTGGTTTGTTGTGTTTTATTCATTAGTCCGATGTGAGTTAAGAACAAAATAAGTGTATGTTGTTAATTGTTAGGTTGTAGGCCAGACTAGAACCAAATATTCAAAGAAAAAACAGACAAATTTAAATGTTTCTGCCTAAAATTCACCTTAGCTAACCTGATTTGACTGTAGGCCAAATAGAAATTTTCCTTTGAAGCTCAGCAAACAGTGGTAAAACATAAAACAAATGTACCTCAGCTGTAGTTTAGTTTCCGTTTATTTAATAATTGGACACATTCTGCGATCATTTATACCAAAAGCTTAATTATGTTATTTTTTTCTGGAGAATGTATTCTGACAACGAAACAAGTCAGTGCTATCTGGGTTCACAGATTTCTGATCCCACCATCACCACTCAGAGGCAGATCAGTTTCATGACGGTCAATTATGATTTTCCTGTTTTATCCTTTAAAGAACGATGCCGTATCACTGACTATTATTCAAACAATGACTGATCGTCCTTTTGTAGCAGCAGCACTCACCAGCCTGCTGACACCAATTAGCTGCCGCAGACATTTCAGTTTAATTACGGTAGAAGAAGAGAAAGGATCCCTGCTCTGAAACGGGACAACGTTCAACAAATCTGTTCATCCACCAGCTTTTGTTGGAGATCTTCACCTCAATTAACTCCTCAGACTGGAACGTCATGATCCATTTGTTCGTTTCTCACATTTCTATCCTGTTCCACTCATTTCTACTGCGGCGAGTCATTATCAGAGGAAACCCGTTTTAATTAGCGACTGTGTCTGTAATCATCAACCCCCACTGACAAGGCGGTCTGGGTGAAGAGAACAAACAGACTCAGAAGAAAAACCTGGGGGAGAGGGATCAGGGCGGCTGAAATGGTGAGACGGGGGAAGAAAGAGTGGAACTGAAAGGATTAAAAAGAAAGGCTGCTGAGATAAGGATGGAGAGGACAGGAAGGAGAAGAGGGGGGGAAAGAGCTGTAGAGGTAAAGAGCAAGGAGAGACAGAGAGAGAGAGAAAGTAGAGATGGATGGATAGAAAGACGGAGGGGGGGTGGTGTGTGTGCGGCTGACAGAGGGAGCAGAGCAGGCCAGCTCTCAGACGGCTGTCTAGACAGTGTCAGGGGAGGTGTTGCTGATTAATGACGCACAGAAACACATCCACCTCCCCACCCCCACCCCTCCTGCCACACACATACACACACACACACACACACACACACACACACACACACACACACACACACACACACAATCTATCGGCCACCCACACTCTCTGGCTGTATCTCCCTGTTTGTCTCTGCAAGGCCTTTCCTCTTTCTGCCATTCTCTCCAACTGCTTCAGCACCAACACCCCCCCCCCCCCCCCACTGTACTTCTTCCATCTTTCCATTTGTGCCACAAATTCACCTTTTTCTTCTCCTAAATTTCTTTGTTTTTGTTTTTATGAGGCCTTTAACTGACAGAGCACTGCCACTGAAAGCTGATCCGTTGTGTTTCAGTGCAGCTAGCTTAAATGTAGCATTTTAATAACTTATCAATGCAGCAGATTTGGGTTTGTCAGATTATGCTATAAAGCATAGCGCCATGCCGGGGCAGCGCTATGTGACAAAGCTACTTTGGGCCAATTGACACACTACTCTATCCTGATTTATTAGAATCTATCCCTTATAGGACAGCTGAGTGAAACCAGCCCATCCCAAAAAATGAACYACAGGAAAAAAATAAGGCTAATATGCTGAGTGGTTAGTGCTTCGTTTGTGCGGGTTTGTGCACTTGAAATTGTTGTTTGTGCTGCTATGGTTTTTTTATATGTTAAAGAATATTTGTAAGGGTCATTCAGGGGTCACTCTCCCACCTGCTCGCTCCAAAATGAACCAAAAATGAACCAAACCAGTCGAATTTTGTTGTGCTTTGAGCAGGTTTGTGCCRTTGAAACGGCTGTTTGTGCTGKTATAATTTATGACATATTACACGTTATAATTTCGGACGATCATGTGACTTGGCCTGAAYTGTTTACGTCTGTGACAACGGGCCAAGTCACGTCATCGTCCGAAAKTATAAMGTGTTATATCTCAAATTATAGCAGCACAGCCAGCCGTTTCAAYGGCACAAACTTGCTCAAACAAAGCACACCAAATTTTGACTGGTTTGRTTCATTTTTGGTTCATTTTGGAGCGAGCGGGTGRGATGGTRACCCCTGAATGACCCTTACAAATAATCTTTAATATATAAAAAACCATAGCAGCACAAATGAYAATTTTAAGCGCACAAACCCGCACAAACAAGCACTAACCACTGATCATATTTGCCTTTTTTTTCCTGTGGTTCATTTTTGGGAGGGGTTGGTTTCACTCAGMTTTATAGGAGCTGTATTCTTTGACRGWCCCAACCTACCCGGTCTACATGGGTCGGGTCCTTTGTCGACCCTGAGGACCGGAAGAAAGTGGCTGTAAATTTGAACAGTCTAGAACTTCAGCTTCATTCCCGCCCTTACCCCAATGTATGTCCTGTTGCCTCACAACCGTGATGACGCTAAACACAAGCGGTTAAGATCGAATATAACAAAATTTTATTAGCTTATGGGCAATACATGAAGAACCTGCCATACAAGCTCGTTTACAAGGATTTCTGACAAGAATAATATTAAAAAATCTGTACAAAACACAACCACTTTAAAACTTTGTTTTTATACGGCCAGATTTTTTTAAAACTGTATTCCTCTCTCTCGCTTTGTCTGCCATTACAAGAAAAAAAAAATCTCCTGGTTGGCCCGCAATGCATCTTGGGATAGGATGGGCTGAGAAGAATCCACCTGAACCGTGTGAGAATGAGGACCCATTCTTACCCAATTTGAGGGTGAGAATGAGGACCCATYTGTGGGCCGCAATTTGAGAAGACTTTGAATTTGGACAGCCATTACGCTGTGACGTAATTAGCCTTCAAATTCGGCCTTTGAAGGACACAGCCTCTGAATTTGGACACAGCCTTCATCTGTCTGGGTGGATTTTACTCGAGATATAGTGCCAGGAAATCCTCTTCCTCTTCTTCCGTCTGCACTTCAAACCACAACACAGTACTGGACCTTCGTCAGTCAAGTCTGTGATGAAGCGATAGATTGATATAGCTAACGCAGTGACACGTAAAGCTAAATGACGGGTGCGGCCCTTCTGCCCACCGCTGAGGTTTTGTTTGAGTCGGGTGGTCAGGCGATGCTGACAGCAAGGTGGTCTTCTCCATACATGACCAGTTACACGTTTCATTCGAGTGCTGCCGCTGCTTCCTCTCTCACCGGGACTCATAACCTCTTCCATCTGGCAGGGAGGCTTTACGCCATGCCACCCCCGGTCACGGTGAGGACACTGGTGTTTGTGGTTCTGGATCGTTGGTTCTTCGAGAACACGCCAGCTCTGATTATGTTTGGATGGCGGTGCCAGCCGTACATGATGATTAAATATGAACAAGAAACCCAAATGCAAATGTCTAGGTACCTGTTCCCTTTGCTGTATTCCTGTAAGCACAGACCAATTAGACAAAACCAGGTGCTACAAATAAGCTAACATAAAGGAAATTAAATTACAGAATGAATACAGACAACACTCAAAGATTCAACAAAGCTAGAAAAGAGACACCCTCTGAAGACCCCTCACTAACACCTGTTATAGTTAGATCCCTGTTTATCTGGAGCTAGCTACTCATCATCCATACAAAGTGCACATTAGTCCAGTAACTTCAAAGTCTTTCTCTTTATTCTGTTCTCTGTATCATGTTACAGATCATAATGAATTATGTTTCTGTGTGACTCCATGACCTTGTGTTTTATTTAATATAACGTGTAGACCTTTGTCAACAAAGAATGAAGCTAGGGTAAATAAAATGTACCACGGTAAAAGTTTATTGGCTGCTAAATCAGGACAGATGAAACTATGAGGTAGTTTATAATCATCTCTCTTAGGGCCGGCAGCCTCCTCTTACTGGTTAATTGCTTTAGACCAGGGGTTCTTAACCTTTTTGACCTCGGGGCCCAATTTCTTGAACATAAAGTGACACGAGGCCCAGTCAGACATTACCAAAGTATAGATCAAAATGATCATTATTCTAATCTAAATCTTGGTTTAATTTTTATTTTATTTACAGCATAACTAAACTATCATAATTAACATAACTAAATTAAATACACTTACAGTTTAAAAGTAAAACTCCTGTCAAATAATCACAAGGCATGATTATGAC